ACGTAGTGCTGGAGCTGGCCTGGAGGCACAACATCATGGATTTTGCCATGCCGTATTTCATTCAGGTCATGAGAGAATACCTCACAAAGGTTAGTGACGAAGCGAATCTCAAAGGCTTGGTTTTACTTTTCCCTCCAAGTTAAGAAGAGGCTCAAATTGATAACTGTATTATAATAGAAAATTTAGCATTTCCGCTGCCCACCTAAAGCTTCAGGTGATGGATGGACAGTATTGTAAGATCTCTGATTAGGCCACAAAGAAATGGTAGATTCTGTGAGACAAGAAGGTGGAGAGTAATAACTGTTTAGTGCCTCTTTCAGTGGCCATTGCTGACCCGTGCATGTGAGGATACATACGCTCATCTCTTTGGGTTCTTTTCCAGGTTGATGAGTTTGCAGCGAAGGTGATGGTCTCTGACCCACTTTTTTATTTCTCTCTTCTCTCTGTTTTGTCTGTTTTTGTTGTAACTTATTACTTAGGTTTCTGATGTAGGAACCTAGCATGGACTGTAGAGTGGATATGGCCTAACAAGCTCTGGTCCCAGAGAGCTGCAGAAGTAGTAGTAGTGTGCAACGTTTTTGCTCCACTCCATCATCGACACATTTAGGAGATTTTCTGATGGGGACCGATTCTTAACTATCCTACTCTAAACTTTCATTTTTAAATATAGATTTTTGAGTTGTTGAGAAAAACAAAATCAAACAAAACAGTGAATGACCAAATTGCCAGAAAAGTCGGAAATTCATTTTTTTTTTTTGTGTAAACGTGACAAGCAACAGGCTAAATGTAGGGAAAAAGATTCTAAAAATCTTAGGCAACTGCTTAATGCTGGGACAGCTAATATTTGGAGGAATATAACAGCTTCCTGTTATTTGGAGAAACAGAGCTGTTGTTTTGCAAGTCAGTTTCAGCATTACAGGAGGATGTGTGCTGTCCAGTGCTTTTACATAGAAGGCAAAGCTCATTAGGGGTCTAGTTTTAACCTAGTTGAGAATTTCCTCCTCTGTGATGATGTCTGGAGCAAATGCCAGTTAGGATTTTTTTCCCTTCCTCTACACCTAACAGACTGCCACCTTCTAACTCCTCTATCATGGGGCTGCATCTTGTGTTAATTGGGATTTGTAAAATGTTTGCTAAAGTGGTACAACATCAGAAAACGGATCCCGTTTCCTCCAGGGTAAAAGCCTGGAAAGCTCCTTAATGGAAACCAATAAGAGAAGAAGCTGTTAGATGCATCCCCATGTTTCTCCCTGCAGGTGCCATTTATATTTTTAACAGTTGGCTTAGTGCAGGGTGTCATCACTAACTTCAGTGTTTATGACGCCTGTTTTTTTTATTTTTCCCCCCTCATACACTACATTTTCTTTTCTCTTTTTTTTTTTTTTAGACCAAAAAAAAAGCTTTTCAGGTGTTCTTTGACATTTTCAGCTTTTCACCAGAACTCCTTTAAGATTTTCTGCTCGCAGCTCAACAGAAATCCACACAGTAGCTGCATCACAGTTTAAGCCAGTTATGATCACATCAGAAACCTTTTTTGGATTATGCGGTCTCCACATCTAAAGCACAGTGCCTGATTATGTCTGTTTTGCACATGACAATGAAAAGAAGTGATGCTATGATTAAGTCACAAACGCTGAATGCCTGGGTAGGACGAGCTGAGCCTGTGAGCCTCTGACATGCAGCCTGAGTGGGCCGGGCCAAAAGAAAGGGCCTTAATGAGAATCTGTGGGGAGGGGCCTGCTCACTGCCCTGAATGGAATGCATGCGACAGCTGTTGTGCATTTACCGTGTTGTGTAGCCTCCCCTCTACTCAATTGATATCGTATATTAATACTTGTTTTAATAACCACATATTAAAGGGTCAATTCACAGCGCAAACCAGCCAACCCAGGATATCTAATCACGATGTGTCTGTGCTCAAAATGAGCAGAAAATGACTGAAGAGGTCAGCTTGTATTCAAATCTAAGTTTCTGCTCCCTTCTTTGTTATTCAAAGCGTTGTTGGAGGAAGGTTTTTCATTTTTAGTTGTAAATTTAAGAGAAATACCTCTGGAGGCAACAATCGCCATCAGTGAAAACAGAGAACATTGATGTCCAAAGACTTTTTTTCATCTGGAAAGAGAACTGTTTTTCCATGCTGAGCAGCATGTTATTAGATTTAATTGCACATTATTGGGCTGTTGTAAGAGTATGAGTCTCAGCATTCAGTGTTTTAAGTGATTAGATACCATCATGTTTTTTTCACTTATGTGAAATGACCCTTTAGTGATTTACTTCACCTAAAAAAAAAAAAAAGTCAATTATTTTTCTTACTGGAAACTGTTTGCGATTCCCACCAGACCCGCATGTCGTCTTGTCTTAGATAAGAGCTGCTGTGTGAAGAGCCGTCTGTAGTTTTGTCTTCAGGAGTATTTTCATCCTAATTTGCTTAGACGTTTTACACTTATCAGCGTTTATTCACTTGATCTAGAATTGGCTGTAGTGTGGCTGTGCAAGCGAAGCTTAAAAGTTTAGGTTATCGTACAGCTTTAAAAAAAAGAAAAAAAAAAAGAAGCTGGCTCCTCAGTATGATGACTACATTGTAGGTACCCTGCGAAAGTCTTTCCCTTATCAAGTATTTTCTGTTGAGCAGGGAAAATAGTCAAAAGTGCGTGTTTTCTGCAGACGACCTACAATGTGTGAATTCAGACTGACCGTCTGTGTCTCTGACCCGTCAGTGAGGCCGTCTGATCCGTTCTCTCGTGTCTGCCGCCCTCAGGTGGACAAACTGAAGGAAGCAGAGAGCCAAAGGCAAACTGAAGAGGAGGTGACGGAGCCTCAGCCCATTGTGTTCGGTAGGTTTACAGACCGTTGTGCTCTCAGGATGTCTCAACGGTCTTTGTCTTTTTCTTATCTCTTTAACACGGTGTGTGTTGTCTTGGTTACCAGGCCAGCAGCTGATGCTGACCGCTGCCGGTGCTGCTGCTGCTGCCCCGGTGCCTCCTCAGCCCGTCTACCCCGGCTACGGCTACCCCCCCGCCGCCGCGGGTTACCCCCC